TATATATATATATATATATATGTGTGTGTGTCGTCGTCATCGGTGATTCTGCTATACTTGTTCCGCGTGTCGGCGAATAAATTATTTTGACAAAACGCTACGCGTCGAACAGCGACTTTTTCACCCGCGGTATAAACGCTTGTTACTACATTCAAGAATCTATATACGTGTGCTTCTTTTTATTATGTAAAACTTACTCGTACTTACCATGGGAATTTAATAATATATATATATATATATATTTTTTTTTTATGAAAGTCTCAACGGTTTCCCCTTTCTTCTACTAGTTTTTCAGTAGGATTTCACTTCGATTCCTAGTTGGTTGAATAAGATTATCGATTTAGATCAAGATTATTCCATGGAATATTTGATAATTATTTTCCCTGTGTCTCATATGTATTTGAAATGTAATTCTTTATATATCAGTCGATCTTTTCCCTTCTTTCTTACGTGGATTACAAAGTGTTTCATTTTTTTTTTTTTTTTTTTTTTTCGTGTCATTGGAATAATCTTGCATATCGTTTAAGTATGTTTGTAACTCGTAATACGATACTTTAAGATTACCGTCCTAATGATAAGAAAACAATTTATGGAAACTACTCTATCCTCGAGTGTTCCAGTTTCCTGCTTATAATAAATGGACCACTTTATAGACTGTCTTAACTATCATCATCTTCATTTATTTACTGTTAATTAACCCTATTTGCCAATTTTCAGATTTAGATATATACGAGAGATGCGAGGTAGAGAAGGAGAAACAAATTCTTTGCCGTTTGCTGTTTCATCTGCTGAGAAAGTTTTATTTATTGTTGTTCATTTAAATCTTCAGCGTTGTGTTTTAGACTAATACTAAGAATTTGGTTTTTTCAATCTTTTTCAGATGTATCAACAAAATTCTATTCTTATTTTAATTTCTCTGTTATCTTTACATTTTATCATACATTTGTTTGAGAACTGATTTCTATTATAAATTTGTACATGATTATATAATTATTGTCGATATATTAAGTATTGAAAGTTGATAGTATATTTCACGTTATAATATTCATTGGTTTTTTTTTTTTGGATTATTAATTATTACTAGATTTTTTTTTATAACTTGAGTGAATGCACGTGCAAGTAACAAATGACAACAAAGTGAAACTCGTTTGGAGCTGCTTTACAAGTTTCAAAATTGCGAACGGCTCGTTCAGATTAAACTGTATCGCAGTTCTTTCGTTGAGCTCTTTTATATTGAAAAGGACGAATAAAAAGAGAGTACGAGAAGGAATTTCTTAGCTGAGACTTTCTTCTTTGCGGAATATCAGGTTTTTTGTCACGTGGGAAAAGTTTCAACGAAAAGTTCTTGCTTCGAGTTAATTTCTTTTGAAATCCTTGGAATTTGCGAATTATTATTGCTGTATTCAATTGCGTATTTAAATGGAACTATTATTATTGCATAAGATTACTAT